TATGGCCAACACTTTCCCACACACCACCCACAACCCACTCGCACTGGCACTCACACCCTGATGGGTATTAGCTGGGTCTATGACCAACACACTACTCTTTCTCTGTGGATGGATGTGTTTTGTTGGTTTTTTTATTTTTTATTTTTACATGGCCTAATTCCTTGCCCTGCTTTGCAGCATGGGATGTCTTGTTGATGAAGTAATGTCTGTGGGTGGCCACAAGTTTTTTCTGGGTTGGGAGTTTTTGGGATTTTGGCCACAATATCTCTGCCAGGAGGCTCAGAGGGTGTTTGCTGTGGGTGCCATTCCCGCGGGCTGCTCTTTCGGAGCACATGGAAGAATGGGGTAGCAATTAGGGTGTTTTAAGCAGTAGCGCTCGTGCTGTTGACTGGAGATCTTGTGGAATATGGCGTAGTACTCGCAGTGACCTCGCCGTAGCACTAGGACATCATCCGATTCTGCAGGTTGTGCGGCAGGGGGAGGTTCATCGCACTCTTGGTGTTGTGTACAGATCCTGTGGTGTATGTCGCAGAGGGCTCTATTTTTTTTTTAAGACCATTGGCATGGTTTTTTTTTTTAAGACCATTGTTATGGATGGTTTGTTTAACTTTGTTATCATTTGTGGAGGAAATGAGAAAGAGAATTTGGGGTGCTTTAACCACACACACACACACACACACACACACACACACACACACACACACACACACACATTGTTTTAGGTAAATGAGTTTTTGGTTTTGTGGGCCGATGCGGAAGGCTCTCCAAGTTTTTTTGGACCTTTGAGGGGGTCGGGTCAGTGCCTTCTTGCTGGAGTAGTCTTCTGTCTTAGGTAAGTTGCCTTCTGCCCTCCATCCACTTGTGGTTTGGAATATATAGGTATACATATGTATATGTGCAAGTGTGCCACTTTGGCAGCAGACAGGTGTGTGGGCACTTGGCGCTGAAAACGTGGCCAACCTTGCATTTTCTATTATATTGCCTTTCTATACTTTTCGTTATGGATGGCTTGTGATGATTTGTGAAGGGAATAAGAGAGAGAATATGGGGTCTTTTAAAACCACACACACACACACACACACACACACACACACACACACACACATGCAACAACTGCTCCTCAAATCTTATGCAACCCACACACTGACTGGCCTCATGTGCCATTCTAGAGTGGTCTGCCCCAGCGGTCACTATTTAGAACCCTGTCAGAGCTCCACCTCTCATTTTCGTCCTCCTTCCCCTTGTGTATTACATGTAATACATACGAATGAGCATCATTACGAGAACAGACCAAATATAAGTTGAAGATCTGAGATGAAAGGATTCACGCTGCAGACACCCAGTCCCGGTCCCAAGGTCCTAAGAAGTCCCAAGTCCCAAGGCCATCCGTAGGGTAGGCCGTAGGGCTCTAAGATCGAAGTGTTGTAGGTTTGTAGCTGTCGGTACTGAAATGTCGTAGGTCGGTAGACGTCTGTTCGGTACCCGGCAAGAAAAGTCTAGAAGAGTCCAGTCCAGTCCCCGGAAAGTCAGGAAGGTACCGGACCGACAAAATGTTTGAAGCAGACAGGCCGCAGCTGACTGGTACCGGTCTGAAGCAGGCCAAGCCAAGCCAAGCGAAGAAATGTCCTATATTTAGCTGCCACAGTGCAGCAACTCGTCACTTGTTCAGTTGCGAGATGAGGAAGCGCTGCTGCTGCTTGTGCGTTACAGCAACTTGGGCACTGTGCGCCTGAGGAAGAAGGGGGCGCCTGAGAGTTAGTCCATAGCTAGGTTAGACATAGAGCAGGAGGCCGGCAGCCATATCCGCCAAGGTGTATTATACCCCTGAGTGGGCCCATCCAGGGTAATGATCCAGGGTTGGAGAGAGAGAGAGAGAGAGAGAGAGAGAGAGAGAGAGAGAGAGAGAGAGAGAGAGAGAGAGCAGTAGGGAAGCCATTGTCCCTACTTGGTTGAGACTCGCTGTGTGTGTCTGTGTGTGTGTGTGCGGCAGAGCCGCTGGTGACAAACATTCTTGTATATTGGCAATAATATTGGTGACGGCATCGTCGAGTGTGGATTATATCTCGTTTTGGCTTCTCATGTGTGAACTCTCATGTGGATGTTCGCTGGTGTATGCAAGTTGAACTTGACGGGTACTTGGTTCATTTCAGAGAAGAAACAAACAGGAGTATACATCCGCCTTTTGCTCTGCTTCCTTTCATAGTGTGCAAGTGGGCCGTTATGGCACACAGGGATGTGGGCAGCTTGCGCTCAACCACAATTAAGTTGGCGAGCCTTGTGCATGAGAGACACGGTAAAGGGGGAGCTGCAAGAACAAATGAAAGGGGTGCCTTAAAGAAAGCAAACGTGAACACATTCAAGAAAGGGGCTTACATGCTTCTATTGTACTTCATGTTGCTTGCTATAGAGGTGAAACTGTTTCATTGTTGGGTTGTCTGAACTCAAGGGCTTTTGTTGTCTGTAATAGGATTGAATACGCTTTGATTTTGGATCTGCTCGTCTGGGTGGAATAGTGGCTGTTGTGGTGAAAATGAAAACACACACACACGTACATGGAGTGAAGTCCAACGAAACCGTCTGGCAGAGCCATGCTTCTTTTTGTGGAGTTATGTACAGCGAACATGATAACACAGTGACAAGACGAAAAAAAAGGCACATAGACATGGCCAACGGCAGGCACAAGTTGGCCCTTGGCATGGGTAGGCGGTACTCTGTGGGTTGGGTGGTAATGGGGGCTGGGTGGTACTATGTTGGACTGTGTGGGCAGGGTAACTGGGTGGACCAGGTGGGGTCGTAGTTTGTGGACTAAGTGGGACTACAACATACACGGCCACAAAATAAAATTTCAAGAAGAAAAGGCAGCGTCCCAAAAAGAAGAGGAACAAAACACCACCAATGGGACTAGCTCCGTTGGTATGCCCATGAACTGTTGAAATAGAGGCCAGAGTCTGAATCAAGATGCAAGCAAATGAACACAAAAAAATAATTCTGAGTTACCTAGGGCCAGTCAGTTTGATAAAGATATCTCAAGGCTGTTGCACACACGCAATACCCCCCAAACTTAGGGCATACTGACACCAGGGGCCAAGTCCCACTAGCGATCAGAGAAGTATAGGAATGAGGACCGTTCGTGTGTGTGACACTCTTTTCAGCCGCAGATAGTAAAGGGATCGGACGGTCCTAATTTCGTTGCCTTGCAAATAGTAGGACCGTAGATCTTTCTCACCCTCTCATTGGCCATCAACTGTGCTAGGTATTCTTTCTCATCGTTGGAGGGGTTTTCATTCCTGGCCGGTGTTTGATGGGTCAGGAATGAAAACCAGTTCGGAAATTGGTAAGGGCCAGAATTAAAAAAAAAAATGGTGAGAAGAGTGTGTCGGTCTGAGCAGACTGCTCTCTCTCTCTCTCTGTGCACACATGTTTTTTCTTGAACGTCCC